GATATATGGAGCACGCAGAAAAAAAAGGGAATTGAATAAAACTCGAAAAAACACTGTTTACTGTATTGATATTGCATTTTTATTTGAAATAAACACAGATCGAGATACCAAGTTGGCACTGGGTTGAATGTAACAAAGCAAAGAATGAAATAGAAACCAGATATGTATAAACACCAGTGTACAGCTAATTTTCAAAATAAAAACATTCTAAATTGAAATCAACACTGATCACACAGATTGTTGTGATTTATGAATGACTTGAAATCCACCCATCTCTGCAATGGACAGTACATAACAAAAAAAACAACAGTATTTTAATATTTCTTGAATTGTAAACTCAAAAATATCTGGTTAGTGAAACTATACATTATGTTTTTTTTTTAAATTACCAGGGAAAGTGGGCCTGAGAAGCAATAGATACTTGAATACCTGCAGAGTGAACATTAAAGAACATCGCCATGGAGATGATAGGGTTTAAATCAGTAAGAGTAGCAGGTGGAGGGGGGGTGTACATGCTTGGGTCAAGGTTACGATATTTATTGCACTGCTAAATAGACAGAGTAATAAAGTAATGGATACTAGTTTTTGGACCCACCAAGGACATTGTATATGATTGACAGACCAGCTAGGCACTCAAGAATGTCCATGTGTTGGGTCAAATCAAGTTCACAGAAATGGGTTCTTTAGTTAACTAAATTATTACTATGGCAACATGCGGTCAAGGCTGCGAAACTGTCTACTGGCCTCCAAGTAATATTGGAAATAGGCTTAGCCTTGTTAAACTGATGGAGGGACAATTGTATTTTACTCCTTTACAAAACAGCCCATCTATATCCACTGAACCCCCACTGGGAATGATGTTTTCAGGGACAACCTACAAAACTTGTTTTGGGTTGTCATGGATATTGAAAAGATTGCAATATTTTAGGAACAGTTATGGCCAGGCGATGATTTTACCAGCAATACTTAGTATGATTTCAGTAGATAGAGATAGCTTCAAACATTAAAAAACTATAATAATTCATCCAAACCACCGCATTCAAGCACATGCAAGACAATGACCCATGGTTCAGTACAAATCTGTCTTACTACCAATATCATTGTACAACATTATTTCAAGTCTATTTAGTACATTGTTCACAGAACCACAGGTCAATGTAGCTTATCCTACAGTTACTCAGAAGAAAAATTAATCAGCAAAAATGAAGGACTACAAAACATTCATTTCAGACAGGTCTTCCATGACAGTTTTGTCATATTGTCAACAAAAATATCAAAACAACAACACCCAGAGACAAATTAAAAAAAAAAAAATTTTTCATTTAAAATAAAAATATTACTAAATAATAGGTGGTCCCCAATGAATTGATGAAAACAACTGAATCTACAATATACATTAACAAGTGCATGTAAAGAGTCAAGGTGCGGGTGAAAGGGACATGGTGCTTTGTGTCCATTTATTATACTCACTTGGTGAGAATTTATTAAATAAACAATAAAATAGAGACCTTTTGAGTTGTTTCTTTCTTCAATAATTTATTTAAATTGTGTTGCTTCTGAAAGGGTTTCTAATGTCACTGACAACAAAATGAAAGCTGGAATGGCTGCTTTGCCCTTTCTATATTATTTATTTGTTTTATTTTACAAATAAGTTTGAATAAAACTTAAAAAACTAAAGATAGAGTAACTGGCAATCATTCCGCTTTCAATATCCAGCAGATATGCTCACCCATTTTAGTCAACAAAATGCCAAATTTTTGAGCAAAAATCTTTACACATTTTGCATCAATTTTGAATTGAGCTAAAATGTCTTCACAGACGAAAAACAAACTTTCGATGATGCTCGAAAAATCTGGTGGTAAATGAATGAGCAGTCGGGATAATTACGCAAAATACACATCATATAAACCCACTAAATAACTTTATCTTAAACAGCTGCTGGGGAGAACATCATTGTAAAACACTATCTCTGATTGGTTGAATCAAAACGCATTATGTACTCTGAGACACTACAGTTTTAGTAGAAAACTGAAATAGTTTGTAGCTGCCTGTCAGCTGTCAATAGCATTGTATTTACATACACTGTAGCTAAAAGATACATTTCAGTATTGTTTTCACATGGAATTTGCATTTTTTTGTCTCGTTTCGATAAAATTGATCGACTACTAATGGCTGTGACGTCCATAAATAAGTTAATTATACAAAGTGTACAGAAAGGCTGGTCACACTACTGCTGTAACATGGTCTCCAGGACCTCATCCATGCAGGCTTCGCCGATCAACGGACGAAAGAACAGTTCGATCAGAACTTGAGCCTTGATGTTCCTTAGGGTTGGCAGACACAACAAGATTCTTGCAAATCGCAGAGGGTCATTGGGATACATCGCTGTGACGTACTCATTGAGACGTAGTTGCGTTTCACTTTGATATTCTTCCACTCTGTATGGGTTGTTCAAAGATGGGGATTCTGGAAAAAAAATAATGAAAAATTAACAATAGATTCAATTTGTTTGACATTGACAGTGACAGTGACTCAGATGAAAGTACTAGATTTATCTACTCATAGCCAAAAAATAAAACTGATGAAGGGGCAGTACATAACTGGAGTGTATGACACTGTATGACCATGTGATGAACCTCAGTGGCCATGAATTATTTCAAAAAGTTCACACAAAAAAAGGTGTGTCGTGATACATGTATCAAGAAAGCCACATACTGAACATTACTGGCAGCTTTAATATAAAAACACTTAGCTATAAAACTCTCAAAAACACTAAAGTGAATAAAAAAAACTTGAACCATAATATTTTAAAATTTCAAAGCAAAAAAAACAATAAAAATTTTATTAGCATTCTCTAATTCTACGAAAATAAAACTTGCATGAACATGAATGAGTTTAGAAAAAATTCTCAACAGGTAGCATTCAACTTATAGCATGAAAATTTACTAGTTATTAAGAGTTAATATTACATTTGTTTTAAAGTTCAAATAATTAGGGAGTAAAATATCCTGCAAATCAAGTTAAAATACAGAGTAGTAGATTATGTTACAAACGGCCTTGGACTGTCTATCATATGGCTACATAGCTTCCTTAGCCATTATTTTATTCACAAGACTTGGCTCACAGCCATATTCTGTCACCTAAAAAATATTGCATTACTCAACATCTTTGTGTTTGTTGTTTTCCACATTGGTGAGTGGGCGGGGTGGGGAACGAGGGGGGTATATTGTGCGACAGATATATAACTAATAAATGAAATATTAAAGACATTTCTGTAATATTCACCATTAATATAACAGTTTGGGAAATGATAATTTTATAAACTATATTATAAATAAGAAAATATCAACAATTCCATATTGAGAAGAATGTAAAACAATTAGAAATATACGAATGGAGTACACAAAATTAGGTGGATATTTTTTATAAAAAACTTTTCTCAGAAATGAATATTAAAAGTGTTTTTTTTGCCAACCTTGTAAACACTGCTATTATGTACTAAGATGATAGTTACGATGCTTCATTCCGCACTTCTTGTAAGAGCACCTTAAGTTTGCTGTTTTCATGATGATGTGAGCTGTTAGATATTGACGCAGCCGATCTAAAATGTTCTTTCAAATAACATGAAGGTGATGGACACACAGAGCCCGTTGTCAGAAGTTTATAGAGGATAGTCTTTTTGGACTCAATCCTGGGACAGTTACAGTGTATATCTCCTGGTGAGTCAAGGTTGTACATTACTTCAGTGGACATCCTATCTGTAGACTCAATACTGCTTGTATCACTACTAGTACTCATATAGTCCAAATATTTGGTCTTAATCTCAACTGGTTGAAGGCTTGGGGTTTGGTAGTTTGTCGCTGACATCAGTCACGGACGGTGGTTGTTCCTGGTATCATCTAGCTTTCATTCATAAAAATGAACTGATCCAAATCCGTGGTGACAGCTAGGAAGATAGTAGTACACAACACAGCTAATAAGATCACTTATGTGTTCCTATGTGTTACAGGAAGTCTTCGGTATATTTTGTCAAAATCTATATCTATTATATGACAATTTACGTAAGCTAACAACTGAGTGAGTGAGTACAAACTGTCTGGCATCAGTAGTTATAGTAAAGTCACCTCCAGTCCAATGGCCTTGTGAACCTACTTTAATATGCAGAGTAGGTGAACTGACCTATCCACATACAATGGGAGGCTCCATAGATCAGCTTTATATGGAATGTCCTTGTGAATATTTTATGCAAATCACACAGACTGAGGCAAACTGGTCAAAGGTGACTGAACGGTTGATAGTTAATTTTTTTTTTTACAAATACTGAATTTATAATGAAGTCTACAATTAACATATCAATGAGACATAGAAGAATTAATTTAATAACAATTATGTCTTTATTTTTAGACTGTACCAGTACTGATGACTGTTGTTTTCTGAAGGGCACCTGTGAAGTAATAGAGTCTAATTTAACCAGTCAATTGTAAACATGTTTTTGAACAGTGGTATGTTTTTTTTTAACTTTTTGAATTGAACTGACAAGAAAGAATAAATAGTAATCTGAATTTTTTAAATCCTTTACATACATCTATATTGGGATACAAGTGTTGATACAGAAGAGTTAATAAAAACATGAAATCGTATATTAATTATTATCTAGTATATCAGCACTTTCAATTGAATATAATATTTAGTTCTATTCTATTCTATTCTATTCTATTTTATATTTTTATTTTTTCTACTCTCTTTATTTTATTCTAATTAATTATTTAATTGCCAAATCATGATAGGGAGAAAATCTTATCCACCTTCATTTTGGGATGACCAAATTCTTGTTATATTCATTGCTGGCTTTTTTTTTATTGGCTAATGTCAAATCTATACTCTATCCTCATTGGCTAATATCAAATCTATACTGTTTATGAATTGGCTAATGTCAAATCTATACTGTATCCTTATTGGCTAATATCAAATCTATACTCTATCTACATTGGCTAATATCAAATCTATACTCTATCCACACTGGCTAATATCAAATCTATAGTGTATATGTATTGGCTAATATCAAATCTATACTCCATCTACATTGGCTAATGTCAAATCTATACTGTATATGAAATGGCTAATATCAAATCTATACTCTATCCACACTGGCTAATATCAAATCTATACTGTATATGAAATGGCTAATATCAAATCTATACTCTATCCACACTGGCTAATATCAAATCTAT